ACCTTCAGAAGCCTAGGTGGGGCTGGCCTGCGCTGGTTGCCTTCATTCGCCATCATTTTCGCAGTCGATTTTTGTGAGCGTCATTGAGAAGGTTGTATGTATTACATCAACAGACACTCCACACATGGTTGTGGCTATTCTGTGCCTTAACCCTATTCCTGGCGGGCTCCGCCGGGACAAGAAACTGGCGGGGGGGGGGGGCCGATTCGGCCCCCCCTGAGATCTCGAGAACGAAGCAAGATAGCGACAAGCGGTAAACGGCATCGGATACGCACGGCCAAGATCTACAATTTTTACTAAGGTCATTTTCAGGTCAGGTCAAAGATGACGTCACAGGGGTCGAAAAAGTCAAAATGGCGGCGCTAGATATGGAGAGAGTTTTTCTCGAATAACTTTCGAATTAGTCAAGATAGGAACAAACTAAGGGCATCATCGTGATCCTCTCGTCAATCCGCATCGAATGATATATATGTTGACCTCGAAAGGTCAAGGTCAAAGGTTGACCTCAGGTCACGTGACCTCGAGGTCATCATGTATATCATTCGATGCGTCTTGACGAGCTGAACACAATGAGACCATCCACGCGTCTGTATCTTGTTCCTGTACGGAGTTATTGGCCAAAAACCTTTGGTGACCTTTGATGACGTCACATGACCTCACAGCTGCCCAACAGCAAAACAGACCTCAAGGTAGTGAAGGTTGATCGTATATGAAGTCATGTATGGTATATGGGGCCATTCCGACCCGTTTTAGTGGTAAAAACAGGGAGTTGATTTTTCTCCCATTGACTTATAATGGGGAGGTCGCGAAATTGACCTGACCTTAGGTCACCGATATCAAAATTCCGAGATATACCAATTGCACATACTGGTACCCTAACTAAACCCTGAAGAGAAGAAATTGATCGGTTAAAAACTCTAGCTCTGGCGTGATTGCAAACTTTTCTGAGGTAGGGTCACCAAACCGCCTCTGGTGACCTGACCTGAGGTCAGATCAACTCAAAATTTTCAGACATGTTGCGTAGAAGCCTTTTAGGAAAAGTCAGAAAATTTGAGCTTCCTAGCTCAACGCGTTTGGGAGAAATAACCAAAAAACCTCAGGGGGGGGCTCCTGAGGCCCCCCCCGCCAGGAATAGGGTTAAGTTAGATAGATAAAACAAAGTGTCAATGAGGTGGGAGGGATGTCACGCAACATGTACACAGCATACATACACGCACACCGCTCATGCACACACGGTCGTAAAAGCTACTGCAGTACCAGCGACTTGGCAGCGCGCTTAAAAGCAGACGGGCCCAGAGCTCGGGTCTCGATTGGTAGGCGGTTGAGAAGCGTCACAGCTCGGTAACTAAAAGATCGCTGTCCGGTCACGGTTCGGAAAGCCGGCGGCCGAAGACGCCCGTCCTGTCTAGTTGGCCGGTCACAATTGCGCGCGTCGGAAAAGCACTGGAAGAGTGAGGCCAGTTCGGACGGCTCTCCACTGACAAGTATCTTGTGAGCTGCAGTCAAGGTATACAAATCATGCATTTGCCGCGGCACCATAAAACACAACTGATTTCGCGCTCGAGAGATGTGATCAAATTTCCTAAGACCGGTCACTACACGCGCTGCAAAATTGACAACCTTGAGCATCCGAGCATCGTTCGCCGCGGATCCGTTCCCGTAAACTGAGATGCAGTAAGATACTCGCGAAAGCACCAAACTCTGAACTATTGAGAGCAGAGCCCTCTGCGGGAGGAAATGTCTCAGGTGACGGAGACCGATCAGGATGCCGATGCACTTGTGAACGATATCGGTCACGTGTGCTTCCCAAGTCAGATGTTTGTCAAAAATAACGCCGAGATTTTTAGCAGTGCGGCTCTCCTGAACGGTCTCCCCACCGATCCGTACGCTGACAGGAGGGAGGTGCCGGGTGTTCTGTCTGGTACCAAGGAGAAGGAGTTCAGTTTTGGAAGCGTTGAGTTTCAGACCATGAGCATGGAACCATGAAGACAGGGATGCAAGGATGGTCTCCATGCGTTGGATGAGGGATGGGAGATTGGATTTGACGTCGGATATTAGGATTTGGGTATCGTCAGCGTACTGGATCACATGGGCGTCCGGCGCGTGCAGACTGAGGTCATTAGCGAAGATGGTGAACAGGAGAGGACCGAGGACGGATCCCTGGAACACTCCCATGGTGTTAGGAAGGGGCTTTGAAACCACTCTACGACCGGAAGGACTGGAGATAGAGACTGACTGAGAATGACCGGAAAGGTAAGCGGAAAACCAAGTGGGATCTATGTTGTACAGTTCTAGCTTGGAAAGGAGTAGATGATGTGGGATGACATCAAAACATTTGCTAAGGTCCAGGAGACATAGGAGTGAGATATGACCATGATCCATGTTGGAAAGGATACGGTTTGTGACAGATAGTAGAGCGGTTTCAGTGGAATGACGAGGACGGAAGCCGTGCTGGGATGAGGATAGGAGGTGATTGTGAGACATGTAGGCAAGCAGCTGGCTCTGCACCACACGCTCAACAATCTTGGCCATGACAGGTACAATGGAAATAGGACGGTAATTGGAGGTCATGGCAGGATCACCGGATTTGAAAATAGGGAACACCAGGGAGTGTTTCCAGGTTTGGGGGAAGTCACAGGAGGTAAGGCATGTGTTGATAATGTGGAGAAGGATGGGACTTATGGCGTCAAAACAGAGGAGTAGGATGCGGATGCAGATGCCATCAGACCCACACGCACCGGAGCGCCTCATGGAGAACATAACCTCCCGCAAGCCGGCAAGGGTCGTGCCCGCCACCCGAAACCCACACGCACCCACGCGGGGCAGACGGCACGGGACATCAGGCGGCGGACCGAGGCCAGCCAGGCTAGCGGCTACACGTGGTCCCACACTCACAAAATGCTCGTTCATCTCGTCCGGTGTAGCGGCGGGGAGGTTGCGCGCGCCGTCCCTCTTCCCTGTCAGAATGGGTCGGATACTGCGGTACAGGGAGCCGCTCCCTCGAGTACGCAGACTCTCCTCGATACCCGCACAGCAGTCACGACGGATGGCTGACCTGACCTGCCTATCCAGATCGCGGAAGGCCGGCGATTTGCCCTCGCGACGCAACAATCCCCGCCGCTGTGCCATCAGGTCGAGGGTGGCACGGGTCACAGGTGGCGCGTTCGGGTTCCTGATAGTAATACATTTGATTGGAGCATGCTTGTCAATGATCGGAACTAAAACGGAAAGAAAATGAGACCACTTATCACACACGGGAACGGAATTAAAAACCCTAGACCAGTCAGCGAAGTTCAAGTCATGCAACAAACGCGTACGGTCGACATCCTTCAATTTGCGAGTGGGGACACGACAGGGCTTTGGACGACATCTCGTAAACTTTAAAAGTGATCGGACAAAACAATGAGGACTAAAAGCGCATCTAAAAACTCCTATTTTCTTAACACCGTCGCCCGCATTGGAAATCACAACGTCGAGCAAAGAACCTGATGAGAATGTGGGTTGTGAGACGAATTGAAACAGATGAAAAGCTTCAAGCATGTCAGCCAGGCGAGCTCGGCCGGCGTTAGTCATAGAGTCAAGCATATTGCAATTGAGGTCACCCATGATAAAAACAGGTCCCTCGTATTGCAATAAAACACGTTGGTACTGAGTTTCAAGTGCACCAATGTCCGCGCTGAGTGCCGCCGCGGTCCGGCGTGGAGGCCGGTACACGGCGGCCAGGGTAAACGGTGGACCGACAGGCGGCCTCACCCGAAGCCAGAGGCTCTCCAGCTGACAGGCGGCACACTCCGGCTCCGGCTGGGCGACAACGGAGCTCTCTGCGCGCCGCGCCCGCGTTCGGCTGCGGCGCCGGGAGCTCCGCTCCCCTCCCGTTTGCCCCGCGTCCCGACCTTTGTCCACCGCCGTGTGTGGTTGGAGGATTGTGAGAATTGTGTGGTTTACACCGTTGCTGCTTCGAGCGTGATTGAGTGCGTTAAAAGCTACCAGTGACTATGCTTCGCGAGCTAGCGCGAGCTCTGGTGTTCCTGGTGCTCACTCACCTTTTGGTTTCGGCTGCAAGACCTGCATCATTGCCGCCACCGACTGGCCGCTCACTGCTGTCGACGGCTTACGACGTCTGCTCCGCGCCCTCTCGCCGATGCCGACGATGTGCTGGCCGGCCGCTGTGCTCACCTGCCTCTGCGTGGCTTGACGATTGTCGTGACCTTGACCCTGGTCATGACCCCGCACGCGGTCGACCAGCGGCTGGCCGCTGTCGGCGCCGGGGTAGGCGGGGCCCTTGCGCTCGGCGCCGGGGCTGCAGGGGCGGCAGGTCGTGGCGGTCCGGCGGTCGGCGGGATGTTCTCGTCGGACTGATAAACATCCAGTCGCTGCTTCCGAAGGTGGTGTCACTGCAACACGATGAACTCCGCCGATTGGACTACGACTTCCTCGTCATTACCGAAACGTGGCTGAAGCGCTCCACCCCGACACGGCTCGTGACCTTCCCTGGGTTCACGCTCCACCGCGCGGACCGGCCTGGCGGCTCTGGCTTTGGCGGGGTGGCTATCCTGTGTCGCGACAACTACAGCTGCTCCGGCGCCGTGTGGGTCTGATGGCTTCACCCAGCGGTTGGGCAGCACAAGGGCCTTTGTCCTTTCAATGACGTTTCCATAAAACAAATACTTATCAGTATCAAACCAGAACACAACATACCAACATAAAACTATGTTGAATGCTATGTTGAGCTATGAAAGAAAACAGAAAAGAAATCAGAACGTGAGCAATAACTACATTCTTCCCTGAAGGTGCAGTAATGTATTTTATTTCCCGGATTTTTTTTTAACTGCCACAAACTAGAACCAACAGTCCAAAAGAGCCCATTATTGGCTACCACTCTATGGGCTGTCCTCACCTGTTAGAGAGATGCCGCCACCGTGGGGTAGGGGCGCGGACGGCGCGGACGGTGGCCCGCCGCGCGCAGCCGCCCGTCGCCCGGCGGAACTCCGTCGTTTGGCGGCAGTGTCGGTGCTGACGCCGGTGCGGTCGGCGGGCGCAGACGCACGTCGACGCGGCGCCAGTCGACGGACCGACATCCGCCGCCAGTTGGTCGTCCGTCGGCGACCGAGCCAGCAGCGCCGCTACCTGGGAGGAGGAACCGTCTGACCTGTCAGGACCGCTTTTCCTGCCGTCAGTCGGACGTCGCTCCGTTCGAGCCGAGCTGTCGCCGACTTCGCAGTCTGTTCAGACCACCAAAGCTTGGCGAGCTCTCTCGTCATCCCTCGTCACCGCCGCTGTCTCTGCGCCCTCGGGGATTTGCTCTGTCGTCACCGCCACCGTCAACGGCATCATGAACGACACCGAAGGTGAGACGGAGACCTGGGTGCTACGCGAGGTGGTGCCCGTCGTCGTCCCCATCATCTTCGGCATCATTGTCACCGTTGGGCTCTTCGGCAACGGCCTGGTGGTGCTGGTCGTTTCCTGCAACCTGCAGATGCGCTCCACCACCAACCTCCTCATCATCAACCTGGCCGTGGCAGATCTACTCTTCATCATCTTCTGCGTCCCGTTCACCGCCACCGATTACGCGATGAAGATCTGGGTGTTTGGCGACGCCTGGTGCAAAATCGTCCAGTACGTCGTCTTCGTCACAGCGTACGCCAGCGTTTTCACCCTGGTTCTAATGTCGATGGACCGGTTCCTGGCCGTTGTCCTACCGATCGCCTCGATGGGGATTCGCACGGAGCGTAACGCCGGTCTGGCCATCCTCTGCACCTGGTCCGTGATCCTGGTAGCGTGCGTGCCCATCATGCTGAGCCACGGCGAGGTACAACACTACGACAACTCGACAGCGGTGTCCTGTATGTTCCTGGACTCGCAGCTGTCCCAGGTGCCGGAGGGCCAGGGTTACAACTATCCGGCGTTCCAGCTGACCTTCTTCGCTACCAGCTACGTGCTGCCACTGCTGGTCATCATCGCCATGTACCTGCTGCTCCTGAAGCGACTCTGGCTGGGTGTGGTGCCCGGCGGTAACATGTCGGCCGAGAGTCTCCGCGGCAAGAGGCGCGTCACGCGCATGGTGGTCGTCGTCGTGGTCATCTTCGCCGTCTGCTGGTGCCCGATCCAGATCATCCTGGTGGTGCGGTCACTCAACAAGTACCCCATCACAGACGCCAGCGTGCTCATTCAGATCGTGGCCCAGGTGCAGGCCTACACGAACTCTTGTATCAACCCGATCCTGTACGCCTTCCTGTCGGAGAACTTCCGCAAGGCGTTCTTCAAGGTGATCTACTGTGCGCCCCGCCAGCCTGCGGCCGTTGTTGGTCGCCCGCAGCGTGCCAGCGAGATGCGTCCTCTCAACGAGACCAAGACCACGCGGTCCACGCTGGTCAACGGTAACAAGGAGAGCATGCACATCCTGTAGGGTGAGTCGCACCGCGGGAGAGGGACCACTGGCCGCCGGCGGCGGGGCGGCCACTCAGCCGCCGGCCCGAGTAGGGTCGGTGTACACACGGAGCTGTGAGGACTGGGGTGTCGCCCCTCGGCTGACACTCCGGGGGTTTGTGGACCGCTGTGGACTCTGTGGAGCCCGGTGGACAGACTCAGTGGACTATGTAGTCCGCCGGACGCTGAGGAGAACGGTGGACAGTAGGCGTGTGATGCTCGCCAGAGGACACCGTGCCTACGCCGAATACGGCCGACGTCTCCTCGCACAAGTAAGTAATATTTTACCCGTCTCGTCTAATATTTTATATAGCTACCTAACTCTGCTCTATTTTCATTGGAAATTTGACCAGGAATGCGAATGAAATAGCAAATGATTTTATTTTTTATGCACGCTTGGGTGAATTCATTATCCAATCAATTAGTATCTATCTTCCTTAGTGGTAACAAATGTTATATGAGCTCGGAGTTTATTACGATCAGCTGGTTGTATTGCAGAGAGCTCACGAATGAGCATATACCCGATTGCCCATGACACGTTGTCTTTACAGCTTCCTTGAGCCTTGGCCTTTGTTCTTACCCTGAAAATCGTCTTGAGTGCATCATTGGGCACCGTTTAGCGAGAACTTTGCATGAACCAGCGAAATATTATATCAAAATATCATTCAGCCTGAATAATGACTTAAAACATTAAAATGTTTAAAAACAAATATGCATGAGCACATGAGCAAAGTCGTAAACTTTAGCGAGAACGAGTGCGCATGATCTATGCAAAGCATCAGCAACGCCACAAAGTAAATAAATGGATCATATTCACTCAAATGAGACGAAAAAAGGAGAATCCCATAACGAGTTCTATTCGTGGCAATCCAATCGTGGATTTCTACTTAGCTAGGAGCTGTTCAGCGATGTACAACATTATATCAATGTAATGCAACACCAATCAGACTGAATTACTTTATATGTAATTATATCACCGCCTCTACTCTGAGAAGCGTGACATAGGCCGATAGATCATCCTTTCACTGTGCGTGCGCTTCTGCTCTATTCCCTCATTAGTCATTCATCATCCAGATGTTCATTATTTCCCACCTTCCCACATTATAACATGTCGGCAGTCTGAATGGGAACGCACAATGGCGCCACTGCGCTATACAGCTGATGGCCAAATCACGCCGCCGGGGTTGTATACAGTGCGCCCAGTTTGTCGCGAAATCGAATGTGTTCGCCTCTGTTTGCCGGTGACGCTCGCTAATGATCTGCCTCTGTTTGCGCGCGGAGGTTCGAGATATTCCCCGAACCACTCCGTGTAAGGTTCGCATATATTGGGAGCATAACGCTGTGAGTCGATAAACTACTTCGACTAAGTGGCTCATAAATATGTTATAACCTACTTTATGTGTTCTCCCTCGGCAAAGCAAGCAGGAAAAAGCAGAATGATTTTGATGAATCTCAACCAATTTGACTGCGGGGCGTCTGGCTTTTCAGTCGTTCCTGATGAGCGTCCGTGCTCGAGTGTCTCGACCTCGGTTATCGGAGCACTGGCGGCACCCGCGGTAGTGGTCTGTGGGTGATCGGGTCAGGCCGATCAGACGAACAGTCACCCCCGTGATCCCATACCCACCGCTTCATCTCAATCCCAGCGCAAAAACATACATCTATCAATGGGTAGTTGGCTTTCGACAGGACCGGCGCGGCTGTTGGCGCTCCGAGGATAGGCTGGTTACGTGGAAGTTCAGAGCCGATTATTGGGCCCTGGGATGGCGGTGGATCTAATTGAAGTCGGGGAAGTACAGGTTTGGCCGGGATGAGCAGGATGCCGGGTCCGTGTGGCCGGTTGGGAAAACAGGCAAACAGCTGGGATCTTAGCTCGGTGGCGACTGTACACAAATATGTACAGGCGCTCGGTGTAAGTAATGCGTGGCATTGATTCATCATGAATTATGCATGTCATGATAGCAGCACCAGTGGCAGCATTTATGACTTCAGTGCGCGGTTGGCAGCACGGTGTTAAGAACATACATCATGCATGTACACATGTGCATGCATGTATGTACATGCATCAGTGTTTCCGTCGTAGCGTGATGTTTGCTCTGCGGCACCTGTCACAGACGGAGTCCAGCTGAAACACTCAGTGTGAAATCCTTCTAATGGCACGTGCCTACCCGTCCCGCCGCGACCTGACAGTTGTACCGCTGCAATCCACTGCTCCGCCCGGAAAGAATCATAGACAGAGTGAACACCGACGTCTCCTTTGTTTTGTCCTGCTGGCTTGTGTGTAGCCTTCTTTTCCTAAACATCCTTTGAGTTTTGAGAGGTTGCCTTATCCAGCCGGCTCTTTTTATTGATTTATGTTCTATCACATGTCCGGTTGCATATCAGGCTGCTCCTTTGTCAAAATCTGAGAGACCAAGTTAATTGAGCAGTTGGCGAGCGAGCGTCTGTCTGACCTGTTCTTCTGTCGGCTTAAACATTGCACTAGTGAGCGCAAACCTTTGTCCTCGGGTACTTATTACTGACCTATAACGCTGCCGAACGGTTCACAAGTATTCCTGGCCGCCGCTATTTGAGGACGTTACGGACGCCACTGCAAACACAGCACATGTCTGCGGATAATAGGGTGCAGTGGAAATAAAGGGAGGTGAGAGGTGTGGGCAGATCGGCCAACAGTCGGTCTGAGAGAATTCCACACTGGCAGGCCATTTAGATGCCAAACTCTACACGACAGGCTATTAATAAGGGACAGGTGCCAGCGATCCAGACAAAACATTTTTCAGAATACGTAATTTATTTTCATTGAGGCACCTCTAGCTTTGTTTCTTTTGTGAAAATGTCCAGAGCTGCGCTTAGTTTGCTTTACGTGTGGTACCATTTTCTTCTTCTTCTTTTCCAATGTAATGCGACGCATATGATCGAGAACGATTCGGTTCGCATTATTCCCAAAAGTACACCGTTTTGTCATATGGCGCAAAAAAGAATCGCCTGCTTGGTTCTCAGCTTGAATCAAATGGTTTGTTGGGACGCTTTTCAACCGTCCTGCATTCTGCAAACGTAGCATTTGGGAAGCCTGCTTTAGCGTGCACTTAGTGGAAAACCACTTAACGGCAGCCCAGAGAGAAAACAACGCCTTTTGCCAAAACACGACAAAGTGCTCAATCGAATGTTACCGGTGCATGCATTACGGCCCTTATTCACTTTGAATCAGAGCATCAGCTAGAATCAGCAACATATACCACAAAATCAGACAATTTTAGGTTCTTGATCTACATTGGTGAGTGCCAGGCACTGGCTTTACAACTGCAACTATAAAATATATGCAGCATCTAAAATGATGACATAAAATCTTGCAGCATCAAATCCTACAGCACTGAGTGTGTCTTGCTTGGCACACTTATAAAATCATGGCATAAAATTATGTGCTCAATATTCTATAAGTGCTTAGTTTTATCATTAACTACTTGCTAGCGGTGTGGCGATCACGAAAAGATAGCGTTTTCCGTTGTTTAAGTGTATAATGTGATAAATGTACTTTATAACGTGCCACTCTTCCACAAGCAAACACTGTAACAATCTGGTGATTCCCGGGATTTGATACGGGCTTGTTTTCCGTGCATCTGCACTTTCTGTTCATTCAAAACATTCACAAATAGCCCAGATAAAAATTGTTAAGCTTCATTTTCCACGAGAATACAAGACAACAAGCCCGTTTTTACTAAGTGGTATGTGTACCTACCTGTCACGCTGTACCTACCAGGAATTCATTGCCAATATCCTTCAATGGAAATAAAAAATTGTCATGCACTCATGCCTCTCAGTCTTTCCATACGCATTTTCTAATTGCAAGGGCTTTATATATCGGATGAGCTATACGAGATAAGAATAGTGACTACTGGCTTTTCATTTGGGTGATAGCTTTAATGGATAAAGATAGTTGTAATTGTATAGCTGCTAACTTTGTTTCATTCTCCGTGGAAAATCATTTTCATGACTGAAGCCAAGGGATCAGTATTTACTTTTTTATTATTTACACAGTTTCTCCTGATCATAAATGATAAAAGAAAACGACGATGCGCCAATTTTTCAATAAGCTACTCGTTTGAACTTTTACATACAACCCTGATTCATCAAAAAGAAAATCAGCTTAGTCCAACTTATCCAGAAACAGGCTGAGTCTGATTTTTTTTTGCGAATAGACAGGTTTGCACGGTAGCCATAGGTTTTGAAGTAGCAAAGTATATTGAAACGCCATTAGCAATGCTCCTGAGATGGGCAGTCTGCTTAACATTTTGTCTAATTTAATTATATCCATATTTGCATGCAGGCTGCAGCTGTTGCAGCTTTAACTCAACTGCAACAAAAGAAGAAACCATGCATTTGAGAATTGTCACAAAGAATCTCGAATTTGGAACTCTCATCAACTTTTTCATTTTTTCGCTTAACTTTTTTACTTTCTATTCATTGCTCGTAAAAATGATGCCTTTGTCTTTGTCTTTGACTGCAGGTGCTCATGTGCCCAGTTTTAGTTACAATGAGGCCTGACAACAATGAAAATATTGTTTTCCCTCTTTTTGACAATGCCGTATGAGTTCTCAGTTCTCACCAATGACAGTCTCTTGTTATGTCTGAAACAGACTTTCTCGCTGTCCAGAAATCGCATGCGAAAGTCTATTCAATATATAAAATCTTGCTCGTATTAACCCGCGCCCCGCTGGGGCTCTTGGATTTCTACGCCCTGTTGGGGCTTTGGAACCTAGGCTAGTTATTGCATTGATCGCTAAGAAACACTGCACAGATAAAAATCCCGATTTGCTAAATAAATGTTTAACCCGCGAGTTGCTGGAGGGGGGGGGCGTTAAAGGCCCCCACTTTTTTCGCCGGGTCATAGCATAAAAACGGCGCGCCGCAGGCGCGCTAAATTTTGGGTACCTGTAGGGAATTGATTGAAGTTTTTTGTGACAAAGTTTCAAAAAAATCGGTCCGAAAATTTTTGAGATATCGAGGTTTTAGTGACGTCATGATTTCTGAGTTTCCGACCAAAAACGGCATATGTTCAAAAAATCATATAAAATCACAGAATAGATATACAGACATGCCGTAAACGCCATTAGACTGCCAATACCATGAGCAATCTAATGGCTATCTTCGATTATTGATTATTGTTCCGTATTTTCCAAAATCTTGAACTGAATCTTGGCAATTTCTCGTGACTACTTCACGACCATGATACATGAATTTCTTAAATTGAACTTTTTGAGCCAAACTCGTACACATA